AAGGAATCTTTTCTTATATCTCTCTTTGTGTTTGGGATTTTGCATTTGAAATTTTATTGTGAGAAATCATTTGAAGTCTTGATGTCTTTTATCTTTCTTCAAAGAATTCTAATTCCTTTTTTCTCCAGCACTTGGGAGTGCCGGCAATCAGTAATCATCTTAACCCAATGCTAGGCCAGCGGTTTTCCGGCCACTGAGTAATTTGCCTTGGAGCTGGGTAGTACACAGAGCTGATAACTATTTCTGCTTCCCCTATTCCCAGTGTGTGGCCACGGCTGTGCTTAGTCCTGTTGGAGCCTGAGGCAAAAATAAAAAGCCAGTGATACTGAGCTTATACCTTTATTTAAATTTGATTTTTTTTTTTTTTTGCTCATCATGGGTTTTTCCTTTTCTTCCTTCTCTTTCTCCTCTTTCTTTTCCTTTTTCTCTCTTCCTTCTTTTTTTCCTTCTCCCTCCTCTTCTTCCTCTTCCTTTTTCATTTTTATTTGTCAGTGCAAGAGATCAAACCCCAGCGCCTCCCACACACTAGGCAGGACCTCTGCTGCTAGACTACACTCCTAGTCTGGATTATTTTCTTTTTGAAGACTGTTGTGGGAAAGTGTTGCTTACCTGGATTTCTGAGTTTTTTGGTCCCCTAAGTTTTGCGGCCAAGGTTAATTCCTCAATGAGTTCACTCTACTTTTGGCCTGGGCAACTGCCTTGAGATTTTTACCTCCTGAGAAGCCTGAAGAAACATAGCTGCGGGTCTCCCCAGCTGCCTATAAAATCCCCCAAGGGCGGCACACCATCGAGTGCCTCTGTTATGAAGCCACTTACAATGAATTCTCCAAACATCTTTTTTTCATTTTCTTCTGAAACTGCCCTAAAACAACAGTACCAGAGCAACAAGTTAAAACTCACAGAGTAGGCTAGCAGTTTTCTGCTAGAAAACAATAGAAAAAGGAGAAATGTCTGCAAACTTGGGGACAACAGCTGATGGAGGAGTGGATCCGATCTACACAACAGCACAGGAAGCGGAGGCAGAATCGAGCTAGTTCAGCCCACAGGATCCCACAGAAAATGTGCTGTTCTCATCACCGGCCACCAGGGAGAGAGAAGGGTTTGCATTCACATCTTGTGGCCCACACTGGGCATTTCCAGTGATGCCCCAGAGAAACGGAAGTCACCACTGCTTTATCGGTGGGACTGGTCAGGCGGGACCCAGCTCAGATACAAGCAAACGATGCTCTAATACACTGCGATTGTCTCAACGACTGAGGCTCAAGCTAAAGGGGACCATGAGAAAGCCATAAATGAAACAATTTGGGACGACTAACTCCAAAGGAAAAAAAATCCAGGGCACACACAGACTAAACTTTTGGAAAATTACATGAGTGGAGCAGCCCATGAAATACTGCAGGGAACTAGAAGTAAACTGTCACTTCCCACTTCTTGGACTAAACTAGAAGTGCAACACCTATTTGCCTCTTTGGCTATTGGAGAAATCATATCCCTCTCTTAGGAATACTGTTAGTCCCAGGAAAAGGCTGTGTCTGATGGAAGGTCTGAGTAGCAGCAGGTTTCTTAGGTGTGCACAAGGCTATAGGCTGTTATTCCATTAGAGCTCTATCGTTCCAAAGATGAAGTTAGAGACAGCTGCTCCCCTGCCAACTCGTTTCTGGCAAAAGCCCCTGGCCACTGCGTACTAGTGACCTCCGGGCTCTGCCCCAGAAGTGTACCAAGCGCTGCTCTGCTTTTGAAAGACACTTACCATTCTTAACATTAAGCAGATTTCTGAAACAGTCCCAATATCCAAAGGATGTAAAGCTATGTTACGACCTGAAATAGCGTGTTGCACCATGGTATCAGAGAAGCATTTCAACAAGGAGGGCAAGGCCCAAAGAACTTCAGTGATACAGTGGAAATGGTGCAAACGGGACAGCTACTGGGATTCCAAGGAGGAATTCATTGGACTGATGACCACGTAGCCTGTCCTCCCTGAGGGCTGACTGCGGAGCATCCCCGGGAAGACCTGCCTGCTGTCACAGTCGATGTACCTCTCCTTTTTACCAGTTACCCACGTGCCTGGCAGTTGGCATGGCTCACAAATGGTGGACCCTGGATCAAGAACAGGATGGAGAACATCCTGTTCCTATTCACCATGGGAGCTAAGAGCAAGTCAGCCCATTGGGCTGGATAAGTAGCAGAACTGAACACAGACTAAGACCCATGCGGTGCATCCCTGGGTGTGTCATGATTCTTGGACCTTTGACAGGGACGTTGGTCTAGCAAATGTACAATGCAAAACTGGACCGAACTGGACCTCTCCTACCCCTGTGCATGAAATCTCTGTGGGCATTCTGGGGGCAAATCCAACTCGGCCATGGCAATGCTTATCAAATAAGCCCTCTGCCAGAGCCCAAGGTGACTGGGGTCAAGCTGCTTCCATAGTTCAACCTTAATACTTGAAATGAGTGGATATGGGAAACTCAAGTCATAGAGTGATGGGCCGAGTGAGGACATGTCATTGGTCCCTTCTGACGCTTACACTCAATGAAAATTGCATACTCCAGGAGAGGTATTCCCTGGGGAAAGTGTCCATCAGACAGCCAGCAAGAAAGTTGGCGTGTCTTTGCCTCCTGTCTGGGGAGACTTGAATATTCACAAGCTACATTCTAGGTTTGCTTTCATGCTCAATGGCCAAACCCAGCACTGCCAATACTATCAAAGGACTGCAGCGGTAACAGAATGCATGATGTATAATAATGTACGGTGCTAGCTCAGCTGTCCTGGTTACTGCATCAGATGGAGATACTTGCTGTGTTGCTGTTGTGCTTTGTGTCTGGATGTCGGCCATGGCGATGCAGTCATGGGGCGGGACTCTAGAGTTTATGATTGATCCATGGTCCACTGTTGGGGTTAGGGATGTGAGTGCTACTCCTGGGGCAGGCAGTTTGCATACAGTATAAGGAAGGGAAAGAAACTTGCTTTTCCCACAGCTCCTCCTTTTCTGCTCTTGCTGTTTTTGCTGAGTGCCTCCATGAACTGTTGGCCTCTGCCATGTGCCACTCTGCCTTGGAGCCAGCTGAGTATGGACTGAAACCTCCACAAACTGTGAGCTAAATAAACCTTTCCTTCCTTCATTCTGGGCGTCAGGTATTTTGTCTCAGCAATGAGAGAAAAATAACCAAGACAACTGCCACAGCAATAGGCAAAGAAACATCGTGTTCAGTAGGCTTATCCTATTTCTCATCACCTTCAAAATAATGGGCTAATGGGAAATTAGAGGTGACAATTAGCAGGGCATGGGAGTGCAAGTCTGTAATCCCAGCAGTTGGAAGGCTGAGGCAGGAGGGTCGTTGCAAGTTTGAAGCCAGCCTGGGCTACAAAGTGAACTCAAGGCCAGTCTGGACTACAGAGCAAGACCTTGTCTCTAACAAATAAGCAAATGAACAACAACAACAACAAAAACCTGCTTTTAAAAGGAGGGATAACAAAGGATCAAAGGGTTCATTTATGAACTTATAGCATTGTATCATGCAACCTAACATGAGGGAGATTACAGGTGGTCTTCATAATTAGGCAACACTAATAGTATAGAAGCGAATGTGGTAATACAGACATTGACAATCAAGTCTGCGGAGATATTGTACCAAACTCCCGTTGGGATATTATCCCTATGATGCAGAATTGGCCTGAAGCATGTTTCAACTTCAGCAGTGCTAGGTTGATTGTAGCTCTTACTTACTCCACAGATACATACCATAAGACAAAGACCGCTGCAGATCAGATAGGTCAGTGAGTATAAAGTAAGTTAAAAAATATAAGAAAGTGTATGCTGAAATTTTTGGATAGTTCTGCTATCTGTTTAAATCCAAACTAACCGGTTGTTAAAAATGTGTAGGAAAAAAAGTGTAGAATCTGTACATTTTTGGTTATCTATTTGATTACGTGAAGTTTTCAGAGAAATGGTCACTCTCAAACTATGAGTGATTGTCTTATTATAAGAGGGCCTTGATTGTGGATCAGTGGTATAGACTATAAGGGATTGTCTGGAGCATAAGTATTATCTGAGAAGTGGGGGAACACACATGCGTGCGCGCGTGCACACACACACACACACACACATGGGGGTGCAAGCATTATAAGATGATAACTGATGTAAAAAGGTCCTGAAAGAGAAAAAGGTTAGGATCAGAGGACTTGCTCAAATAGTTCACCACTTTCTGCAGCAGGGGCAGAGGGGACCCTTTTAGAAGGCAGAGAAGCATAGGCTAATGATAGGTTGAAAGGTCGACTTCTCTCTCTTAAAGCTTGTCATCTGGTAAAGGCCAGAAACGAGAGAGAGAGTATGAATGGATACGAATTAGCCAGAGTACGCAAATGTGTACAGCTCGATAGCAGACTGAAGCAGAAGCTGAGGGACTTGATGTCTGATGGGCTCTGTTTCTCAGTGAAAAGTGAAAGCCACAGTCATCTAAGGAAATGCAGTGAGGGTCTGGAAGAGTCAGTGAGCGCAGGGCGTGTGCAACAGAGCTGCCAGGTCGGATTCGGGTCTGGGAACACACAGCCTAGATGGGCCCGACCCACACAACTGCACAGATCTGTCAGGCAGGGTTCGGTCCCCGCGTAGCGCTATCAGGTGTTTCTGTGCCAGATGAAAAAGAATACATCAAAAAAGTTGGCAAGGGAATGGTTGAATCCTGTGATTCATTCAAAATACACATTCTCTGCAGATTTTTTCGTGAATAACGCATTGAACAACTCCAAAACAGAGGCTCTTTTTAAAATTCTGGGGCCTACAATTAGTCCTTTATGCTCACAAGACATTCAGATATTTTTGAATGAGTGAAATAAATAATAAACTAAAACTCTGACCCCCATTATACATTTCTGAATACAAGTACTAGGTTTAAATTTGGAAACAAGGTGTCAGTTTTGTTAGAGAATTAGGAATCGGTCGCAAGAGCTACATACCTATAATTTACTTACACAAGAATTAGAGTGACATCAAACTCTGATAAAATATAATCTGGAACACAAACATTTATTAGAATAAAAATACACACACAGTATCCAACATTAAAATTATGTCACATCACATGTTTCCTCTATTAGTTTTTTCAAATGCTTTTAAAGTCTGTGCTTTAAATAATTTGCACATCTGTAAACAAATCTGAGATTACCAAAGACGCAATGTATCTATTAGATATTGGGAATTTAGGAACAGGAGCCGATAGTTATATCCTATCATGCTAAACATTTGTGGAAATTTCTGGAAAGAGAGGAACTGATTAAAAGAGTTCTCCTGAAATGAGGTAAGTTGTATGATATGGTGTTTAGTAGCACATCTCACCAATGTTGAGAAGAAAATATTAAAAACCTTCATGAAAAATTCATGTCAGTGTTTGCGGTATCTAGCTTATTTAAAAAAAAAAAAAAAAAAAACTACTCAACTTCCTTATTAGAAAAAGAGAATGATCTGGTTCTACTTAGGATCTGTGTAAATTCTAAGTCTCCCTCTCATTTAGAGAGAAGTGATACAAACACTTACAAGCCTATGAAAAAGGAAAAAACAATGAAGATTAGAACCAGTATTCCAAGCTGCCTTGAGGAAAGAAAGGTACAAACAGAGGTAGATGGTTAAATATTAGTGGCCGGGTTACTCAGGTGACTAATTTTCGTCTTGGTACATATTCACCAAGGTTTTACACTGGAAGCCAAAGAGTAAATAACTTTAGGAGAAGAAAGTGATACATAGCGGAAGTTATTTTCCTTATGTCAAAGAAAAGTAATAAAAGTAAACTAGGCTAGAGACCCCTGTTAAGGATATGATTGTTCAAAGCACTACAGGTCATGCACTTGGTGAAGCAGAAGTAGCGGGACCAGCCCTAAACTCAGCCCTGGGGGGCCTGTCAGTCAAAGTAGGACTGAAGCGAGCCTCGGCGGCGGACGTCACAGGTCCAGCAGTGGAAGCCTCCTCCCAGGGAATTGGCGTGACGGATGCTGACCTTAATGGTGCTGATCCCTGCATTGAAAAAGGAGGCCCAGGTCAGACAGGTGGACCAACATGGAGCTGCTCCTGCCGAACGTAAGCCCACGGGTGCCTAGGAATCCTGCTTCTAATCCTCCCTGCGAGCCCAACCCACAAGGGGCTTCTCTCTCTAGTTCCCTTTCACCAGCTGTATCTTATCTCACCTATCTGAAAATCTCCAAAAGGTCAGCAGAGACTCTGAAGTTTTGTTCTACTGACTATTCACAAATCAACCAACTAGATGAGCAGATATCCCTGACAAATGTCGGAAAATGACTACTCATAAAATTTCAGGGCCTTTTAGAATCTTCACCTTGTCTGGCTGTTTCTAATTTTACCATGGTGATCTAGTAGAAAAAGTATAATTCAGCCAACCCGAAATTTCCACTTACATAGCCACACACACATAAGGAGAATATGCCTGATACATGAACATGCCTTGCCGGGCGTGGTGGCGCACGCCTGTAATCCCAGCACTCGGGAGGCTGAGGCAGGAGGATCGTTGTGAGTTCAAGACCGGCCTGGGCTACAAAGTGAGCTCAAGGCCAGCCTGAACTGCACAGTGGGACCCTGTCTCAAAAAAAGACCAAAAAAAACAAAGAAGGTGAGCATGCCAGGCAGGTAAGGACACAGGAAAGAGCTCTGTCTCAGTGTGTCACCCGAATGGCTGTGTAGGTACCAAGCCTGCCTGGACTCTAGTGTAATCTGGTGCCATCCGTGGTGATGTGACCGCTACATACACAGTCTACTTAACCAATGGGATTCGGAAGAATCGTTGTGTTAGACATAGTGGGATTTTTTTCAAAAGGCAGTTTACTCTCTTCTCTCATTATTCTGAGAGGACACAGGAGCTACAGAACCATGACCAGGTCCGCTGGCAAGTCGGGGAGAATGGGGGTCCGAGTCTGCATGGGGCTCTGAAGAATGAGTGAACACAGGGTCGGGACAAGGGGAGCCTGGGTGTGGGATGAGGGGAGTTTTGTTTGTTTGTTTTTGAGACAGGGTCTCGCTGTGTAGCTCAGGCTGGCCTTCAGTTCACTATGTAGCCCAGACTGGCCTTGAGCTCAAAATGATCCTTCTGCCTCAGCCTCCCGAGTGGTGGGATTACAGGCATGTGCCACTACGCCCAGCCGGAGTAGGGTTTAAATATGAGTATATGTGTCCTGCTGGAATGACCTGCCTGTCCTCTTCTGAGGGCCACAGCCATGCTCATCCTGAGTTGGTGGGGACTCTGGGACTTGGTATGTTGGCTTTACCAAGCTTCCTGTATCTATACAGCCTTTAATTACTAAAAGTAAGAGTAGAAGTCAGATATGTGATAACGTATACTATTTTACATTAAGAAACAAAAATCTAGGGCCGGCAATATAGCTCAGCGGCACAAGCGCCTGCCTGGCAAACGCAAGGTCCTGAGTTCGATTCCTAGTACTGAAAAAAGAAAAGAAGAAAAAAGAAAAAAAATCATAATAGACAAATAAACTGAACCCAAACAATTTTTATTATTTAATGAAGGCCAGAGGCAAAAAACTATAGTATAGCATTAAGGGTCAAACCATTGGTTCCATCTAAAACTGAGAGGCTGGGCTGGAGCTCAGAGCTTTTGCCTTGCATACAGAAGGCCCGGGTTCGATGCCCAGCACCACACACACACACACACACACACACACACACACACACGCACACACACACACAAAGCATACATCATCAAAGCATGAGGACTAGAGCAGACAGGTAAGTCTGTTAGGGGACTGGAATAGCAACCATAACCCGTTGTCTTTTAGACTCCTCTACTGATCATTTGATATCTGGGCTGGGAATTTAGCTCAGCGGTGCAGTGCCTGCCTAGCAGGCGTGAGGTCCTGAGTTCAATTCCCTGTACCAAAAATAAATAAATAAAACCGATAGGCCAATCTTTTTAAACTGACACTACATTAAAGAGGGCTGCGTTAAACGGGCAAACAGTTTGTTTTGAGTTGTCTACCTGAAATATAAGACAGTTTTTAAAAATGACTCAATGTCAACAAATACACTGCTTAGCTATTATAAATTGACACTCAGAGTATGTCAAATATGTCAGGAGTGCTACTCGACATAAGAGCTTATATGAATCCTTTCCTTCAACATTTTTCTCAGAAATATTAAGAACTGAGTGCCTCTAGAAACTGAGTGAAGTAAACCACTCATCAGAGATGCGTAGTATTTCCTCAGTTCTTCTAATCGGACGTTTTCACGCAGGACAACACACCGCACTGCTCTACGTACCCAGCTTCTCAAACATCTTCTGCGTTGGGACTTCGTTGGCGTCCACCATGACACGTTTCTCATCCAGCATCAGGACGTTCATGGAAAGCCATTTGGACGACATCCACAGCGGATGATCTGTAAAACACCAACAGCTGCTGAACTCGCCTGCTGTCATTTCTGCTTAAAGCAAGGACTGACAACCCAATAGCTCAAGGTTTTGGTGGTTCGTTTTCCAAAACCAGCATATCTAGAACTGTTACAAATCAGTCCATACTCATCACACATTTGGATGTCATCCTGTTCTCTTTATAAAGTCATACTTGCTTTATGTGAGGTTGTTTTGCTGTCATCTCATTTTCACTTTCCATGGAAGGAAAAATTGCAAAGGCAAGTCCCAGCCGTGTTCCAGAATTCACTGTCACCGCTTCTCCTTACTGGGGAAAACTCTTGCTAACGGGGTAGGATGTGGGCTGCTCTCTATAGGTGAAAGACCCTTGGTCACTGAAGTATGCATTTTAGACTCTAAGTATTTAAAAGTAAACCTACCATCTGGGATGGTCGGTGTTGGAGGAGTAACTATGGTCCATCCTGCTTTCTTGAATAGATCAATCTGCAAAACAAAAATAACCAAAGCGGGTTTAAATCCGTATTTACTACTCTTATTCTTATAGGGCAGCCTGACCCACTGCGGAGACCAGGCAGGGCCATCCATTTTAGCTGCAGTTGTAAATTATGAGACGGTATCATTTTATTCAATAGAAATACGTTCCTATGGACAAACGCTCTGTTTTGACAACACCAAGCGGCTGAGGTCACTGTCTGAGGATACTATACTAATTATCACTGCAGCAGTGTCTATCTCTGGGTGTTGGACATCTTATGGTAAACGCTCCATAAGCGATCCAGTGTTTGATCATAATACTATTGAACATTGCAGAGTCTGTCAGAATCACTAAGAGCCACAGAGGTGCATAAAATACAGGGGAAATCGCTATAGCTGTTCGGCTTTCGTGCTTTCCTGCTGTTCCAAGAGCTCTCTTACCTGGTGACACGGACGGTCAGGGTTGGAAAGCACGAGCCCAGGCCCGATGATGTTGAAGGTGGCGTCGATGTGCATGGGGTTGGGGTCCTTAAAGGAAATGACATGCACTCTGTAGTCTGGAGCGAGATGCCTGCGCATCCATTCAATGCCCAGGCAATTTGTCACCTGAAAACAGAAAGGAGACAGATAACCTACAAAGACTTGGCTCTGTGTTTAGAAAGCCACATACATGTAGGATGGAAATATTTTAATTTAGAAATACAGAACATCCTCCCACAGTGTGGAATTTCAGGGAATTTTACCCACCTGGCTTCTCTGTGCAAAAATATCTCTTCCGGCTCGAATGAAGTCAGCAGCATCAAAGCAGGGCTCAAATTCAGTGGTCACAAACTTTCCCTGAGCAGCCAGTTTGTGTCTGTCTTCCACACTGTGGATGGGATAATTCTAGCCAGAACAAGAACAAACACATTCGATGCGTGGGTTCCCCAGGAAACTCATTTGTGAGGATATACCTTGCCATACACCAATTAGCGCAACGTTACCATTTCCCCAAACGCTGCTACTCTGTTCTAGACTAAAACACGCACAGGGAAGATGTGCGTCCATGATAGGCAAACCGAAACAATACCACCACCACAGAAACAAAATTCAGACACTGGGTAGCTTCCTGCTACTTCGAAATAAGTGCTGCAGGGCGGAATCTGTTCTGAAAGTCGCCCATGATCCATACGCGGATTTACAGAGCTGTGCATGACATGGGCAGGTCACAGGATGGAGTCACTCCCTTCAGAAAAGGAATCTGGTCCTGGGTCTTGAGTCTAACGGATGCTGTGAAATGAAAGCTTCTGCTTCCCCACCGGGGCAGGGTGCGGTGTAATTCATTATTTATTTCTGTCTTCGAACCCCTCAAAATTTTGGTTTTTACACTTTTTTCTATAAAGGGCCAAAGAATATGTGATTTAATAAGGGACACACAATTGCCCCTTGGTACCTGGGGGGCACCAGGTCCCAAGATATTAAAACCTGCGGATGCTGCAGTCCATTATGTAAAGGAGCACAGTATCTGCATATAGTCTGTGTACGTCTCCTGAGCTTTCAATCATTTCTGGGTTACGCATGACACTTAGCAAAGGAAGAGCTGGGAAAATGGCTGCCGACTGCATCGTTCAGGGGACAACGTCAAGGAAAACGTACGTGCTCCATGCATCACCATTTTGAAAAAACCTTTTTGAATCAGGAGGGTTGATCCACAGTTAGTTGAATCAGGAATGCAGAATCTGCAGCAGAGAAGACTGGCTGTATATTTAATTTCACTGTGAGTCTGGCCTATAGGCCAGCTTCTTTTTCTAGAAGAAAGGAAGGGACTTCAGCCTAGTTATTCTTCTGGTTTCACCGATGACTAGCAGTGTCCCCTGAGGCCCGGTCTCTCTGTAATGAAATGAAACTACTACCTGCTAGGGTTGTTGTGAAGAAACAGGATGGAGGATGCAGATAAAGAACAAAGCCCAGCAGAGAGTTCATGAACAAAAACCAAACTGCACGGGAAATACTTCAAAGAATCAACAAATGGGACCTCATCTCATTAAAAAGTTTTGGCACATCAAAAGAAATCACCAACAGAGTGAAAATTGAGAAAAAAATTTAGCCAACTGTTCCTTAGACAAAGGGCTTCTATCTAGAACATATAAAGAATTAAAAATATCAGGTCCCCAAAATTCAGAAACCCAATCCAAAAATGGGCATCTGAGATGAATACACACTTTTTTTAGATGAAAAAATACAAATGGCAAATAAATATATGAAAAAATGTGCAATATCACTGGTCATACAAGAAATGCAAATTAAAACAACACTGAGATTCCATCTCTCCCCAGAAAGAGTGGCTGTCATCAAGAAATCTACCAATAACAAATACTGGTAGGGCTGTGGGGAAAAAGGAACCCTACTGCACTGTTGGTGGGAGTGTAGACTGCTGCAACCACTGTGGAAATCAGTGTGGAGAGTCCTCAAAAAACTAGGCCTCGAGGTCCCATTTGAACCAGCTACTCCTCTTCTGAGTATTTTTCCAGAAGAACTGAAAACATCATACCACAGCAACATATGTGCACCCACCCATGTTTATAGCAGCACAATTTGTCATAGCTAAATCTTGGAAACAACCCAAATGCCCATCAACAGAGAAATGGATAAAAAAGATATGGTATTTTTATACAATGGAGTACTCAGCTATAAAAAAATGATAAACTCAAGGTTTTTATAGGGAAATGGATGCAACCAGAGACCATACTCATAAGTGAAATAAATCAGACTTGCACATGTAAACATCGTATTGTCTCCCTAGTGTAAGAAATCGAAAGAGTAAATAAGACCCAAAAGGTACAATAGAAATTATGAAAGGGAAAGAAACTGCTCAAAAGGAAGGAACAACTGGCATGGGGGAGAGGAGAAAAGAAGAAAGAGAGAAAAATATATATATATGCGCAAGATAGCTAAGATAATTATACTTCTAATTTCTATTAGTTCGGTGAAAGGAACAGTTACTGCTTATATTGTTTGATCAATTTTACATGGCTATATCTGGTAATCTGAGCAACTACTTTGAAGATAACATTATGTAATATAATAACCATTGTTAATTTCCTATCATCTTGTTTTGAAATTCTGTATCTTTTTTTTTTTTCTCTTTAAAAAAAAACAAACCAAGAGGAGGGTGGGAATTTAGCTCAGCAGCACAGTGCTTGCCTGGCAAGTGTAAGATCGTGAGTTTGATTCCCGGTACCAGGAAAAAAAAAAAAAAAGAGGGTCAGGGCTATAGCTCAATGGCACAAGTGCCTGCTGGCAAGCCAAGGTCCTGAATTCGATTTTCAGCACCAAAAAAAAAAGAATACCATCCTAAAAAAAAAAAAGAGCGTAGCCCAGGGACTCGCACTATTATTAGTGATATCATTCAGATCACTAATATTACCACTATTATCATCAGATCACTTATCCTATTTTCTTTATATCACAATTCTTGGGGCTGGGGATTTAGCTCAGCGGCAAAAGCGCCTGCCTGGCAAGCGCAAGGTCGTGAGTTCGGTTCCCGGTACTGGAGAAAAACCAAAAAAAAAAACAACAAAACAATTCTTTAAAAAAAAAAAAAAGTAGTCTGTGGTGGTGCACGCCTGTAATCCCAGCACTTGGGAGGCTGAGGCAGGAAGATAGTTGTGAGTTTGAGACCAGCCTGGGCTACAAAGTGAGCTCAAGGCCAGCCTGAACTGCGTAGTGAGACCCTGACTCAAAAAGACCAAAAAAAAAAATAAATAAATAAATAAATAAATAAATAAATAAATAAAAAAAAAATAAAGTAGGCGATATTCCCAGTTCCCGGCATGGGGAACCCATGCGGGGTCTCAGAGAACCTCTTACTCTTGTGGATTACGGATGAGCTCCCCTGTGATCAGGCCTTACCTTGTCATAGAGCTCGTCCACCATCATGGGCTTGGGCGCCGTGGTCCACTTGGCCCCGCGGTGGAAGTAGTCTTTGATAAGCGAGCGGTACGCTCTGTACTCGAAGAAGCGCGAGCGCCACGCCATGGGAGCCTCGATAATCTCATTTCCCACGACGATAAGGATGTCTCGGGGCATCGCGCTGTATAAACCTGCCAGCCAGGGACAGGGGCCGACTTTCAGGCGAATGCGTGATCAAAGCAGGTGCTTTCAGAAAAGTGTTTCTTTGTATCGTTAACGAACCAACCACCCGTCCTGATCGTTTCCCTACGAAACAGAAACCTGCACGGCTACCCCAGGAACGCAAATTTCCAAGTTAGGAAGGCCTATGCAATATGATCTACTTCAGTGCTGGGTTTTATTTTTGTTTGGTTTGCCTTTTTTTTTTTTTTTTTTTAATTACCGGAACGCTGTACACACAATTTATGCACATAGTTATATAGAATTGAGAAAAGTGGGATTTACACACTAGAAAGTTAACACAAATTTGGTGTGGGGTAGGTGAGTGAAGCAAAAAAAAGAAGGAAAAAAATATGAAGCCATAAAGTGGTTATTGCCGGGCACGGTGGCACACACCTGTAATCCCAGAACTCGGGAGGCTGAGGCAGGAGGATCGTTGGGAGTTCGAGACCAGCCTGGGCTACAAAGTGAGCTCAAGGCCAGCCTTAACTGCATAGCGAGACCCTGTCTCAAAAAGACCAAAAAAAAAAAAAAAGTGGCTGTTCACAGAGATGCAGAATGAGCCATCAAGCGGCCTCGTTTGTTTGCTCCTTTCTTGCTATTCCGAGGCACAATTCTTAAAGCACTATCAGTATCACAAGATAAAACTGGGCCAAGGATCATTCTGTAGCTGTAAATCACAGAGCTCAAGCACCAAAACAGTCACGTAGTGATGCCAGTTCTTCTTTTCTTTTCTTTTCTTTTCTTTTCTTTGAGACAGGGTCTCGCTATGCAGTTCAGGCTGGCCTTGAGCTCACTTTGTAGCCCAGGCTGGTCTCAAACTTGCAACGATCCTCCTGCCTCAGCCTCCCGAGTGCTGGGATTACAGGTGTGCACCACCATACTTGGCTTTTGTCGCTTCTGTTCTTGAGGAGACTTAAATGGAATTCACTCTCTTTCTAGAAGGAGAAGCTATAAAATCTATGGAAAATTGCTTCTTTCAAGGGAACCCCACCAGGTTTACAATCGAGTTTAGAGTGTGCATCTTAAGCATATCAAAGTTGCCGGGGAAATAGGTCAGTGGCACAAGCGCCTGCCTGGCAAGTGCAAGGTCCTGAGTTTGATTCCTGGTATCAAAAACAAAAACAAAAACAAAAACAAAAACAGAAAAATTAAGCATATCAAAGTGAACTAAACTGCTGCTAAATATTCTTTAAAGTCTTGAGGGATTGGCAAAACCAAGGATCTCCCCCCAAATTCTCACACCTTTCTCTTGACACACTTAAGAAAGAAACCGTGCATCAAAGTCAAGGCGCTGGCAGATGAGTTTCCCACAGCACTTACCCGTAGACTCAAAGTCAGGAGTTCTGTACTGAAATGCCCAGTCAATGGGGTCGGGTCTCCTCACCACCACTCCTTCCATTTTTAAAATATTGCACATTTCTTCAATTTCAGCAACAGCCTTTTTCAAGTGATCTTTGGGAAAATATTGACCTCCATACTTTTGGTAAAATGGCCAGTACTTTTCATACGTGTTGGCCTAGAAGCCAGGGAAAGAAAGTGAATAGGCTCATCGGTGGTGGACATCTCTGCGTACATAATGGCATTGAGGCTAGAGCCACACTCCGTACCCCGGGTCCCCCGGCAGACGCGCAATGTTTACTGGAAGAAGGGCTCTAAATTCTCTTGATATCTGGAGGCTTTTTGATCAGTTTCCGCAGATCTCATGCCTAACCCCTACCAGCATGACTGCCTCTCCACAGGCTTGGAACCCTCTTGGCCGCCCCTCAGAGAGAAAACGCCCTGGGTGCTCCAGTTAGAAAGCCTTAACAGAATTAAGCAAGAGAACAATTGAAAGGGAATAAAAACACCCGTACTGAGTTGAAACCATGGTCTACCCACCCATTCCGCAATTCTGTCTGGAAAACAGCACCTATATTTTATATTTTATAGGAGGAAAAGATATTTTGCTGTGGCTAAGATCAAGGACATACTCTCAAACCCACTTTATTCCTCTTAATGTTCACTAGTGACTTTCCCATTCAAAAGAGCTTGCTCTTGGCAAAACGGCGTGGCCATGCAGGGCGGGCTATGTTACCCCTCTGTCACTATGTCTCCCACCCGCGACACATTTCCTCTCCCCCATCCACCCAAGCCCACCCCTCACTTCAGGTCACTTGGTCAAAGCAGAAAATATTTGGTAAGTGAATTCACACACTTTTAGTGGCTGAAGAAAGCTTCACACGAAGAAAGTTCCCAGAGGTTTTATGTAAAAATGCAAATATCTAGATTCTTTTTTTTTTTTTTTTTGTCTTTTTGAGACAGGGTCTCACTCTGCAGTTCAGGCTGGCCTTGAGCTCACTTTGTAGCCCAGGCTGGTCTTGAACTCACAAGGATCTTCCTGCCTCAGCCTCCTGAGTGCTGGGATTACAGGCGTGCGTCACCACGCCTGGCAAGATTCTTGATGTGTCTAAGTTCTCAGCCAACTGAAAGAAATACTCAGGGACAGGTACACAATGCATCTTATAATTTGTCAAGACAGATGAAACAGAACTCCAGAGACTAAGCAGAAGCCACCTTGGACCTTTGTCAGAGGATCGGCAGAGCCATGCAGAGTTACATGCAGTTAATTAAAAGTGTGATCAAAGCAGGTACTTTTAAAAATCATTTCTCTGTATCATTAATTAATCAATTCCCAGCCCCAATCATTTCCTTACAAATCAGACACCTGCAGATAGCAGAAAGTACTAGAAAGAACTGGGTAACCGGCTAAGTATGACTGTGGAGTGTGTCCACTTTAGCTAGATATTGTGCTACTCCGGACAACCCTATCCAGGAGACAGGGTGAGCATGCCTTTGTGCATTTTGTGTGCAGAGAAAGAGACTTGGGAAGTCAAGTGCTCTCGTACTACCTGGACAAGCAGGACAAGAACTTTAGTGCTTGGGCTCTCATTCTAACGGTGCTCTGAGTCTGTGAAGGCATTCGGCCATGTTCTAGTGGTCTGAACATTTTTAACTTTATATATAAAAAGTTTTACAACTGGAATTGTTTATTATGGTTCATATTGTTCCCCATAGTTTTTGCCCATCAAGACTGGACCAAATATGTAGGCATCTGACTCTTTAATGTCAAAGACAGTATTTCTCTAGATTTATGTCTCTCCTTCTCTTTTTACCTCACTCTGGCAAATTATCAGATGCACAAACATAGACTCACCTCTTTCTAGTTCAAAGTCTAGGTTAACTAGAACCTAGGAGGGAGGACAGGGAATAAACCGAAAACAGATCTCTAGAAATCATGACAGATGCCTGTGAATCTCTAAGCAAGGGGTTGGTAAATGAAGGGTTGGTAAAATGGCCCGAATCTGGCCCATGCCTGCTTTTGTAAATAAAGTTTTATGGGCACACAGGCACACTCATTTGTTTATGTGGTGCCTGGTATTGCTTTTCACAACAAAGGCAGACTTGGAGATGAGGGGTTGCAACACACACCTATGTTCTGCAAAGCCTGAATTATCTATTAGTAAGTTTGCTGACCATCACAAGCTGAATTTCTGAACAACGAAAAATATCATCTGTTAAACATCTGAATGATTTAAGGCAGGTCCTCTCTTGCAAAAACAACACGCGCTTCAGTTGTGTGCTCCAGGGATTTCTGCAGCAGCACAGTAAGAAGCGAGGATAATGACTCTTTATATTCTTCTCTAACACGTCCTGGTACTGCTTATCCATTCAGCACTTCCTGCTTCTCATGCCGGGCACATCTCCTACCGTTTCTCTGAGGGACAAGAAGCCTTTGACAATTTAACACTGAGTTACAGCCGACGCTTGGTTATGTTGTCTTGCCAAGCTCCTTCCACAGTACCTTGCGTGACTATTTGTGCAGAGCGAAGACTGCAAAGTTTCCTAGGAGAAAAACACTATTTGAACAAGTGTGAGTTTGTCTAGCTTATAATCTGGCAGATGTCGGACGAAGTCCAAGTGATCAGGGCAAATTACATTTTTCAAGACCGAGCTGGGAATTGTTGACACTTCCTTTATAAACCTACTGAATGAGTTAGCAATCATTTACCAAGCGTGTGCAAGATAGTGAACGCTGTATTAGACGCTCAGCCGATGTTTTTTAATAATCTGCTGCAGAGATACGGCTGCATTCCTGGAAAACTTTACAGTCCTCTAGGGCCTAAAATCATCTGGGGTGGGGTTGCTAAGTGAATTTTTAAATATCATCTTCAAAAGAAATAGCAATAAAAATGAACCTTTTACTTATTCAGCAATAAACTTGTGTCAACCTTAATTTTATATTCTTTAAAAGGTCTTCTATCAAGAGTTTTATTTAAAAAAAAATACAAGAGCAAACCCAAAAGCAGGTATTTACTTTGTTTTGCAGAATAAAAAGCCATTTGACTTTTAAAAATGTGTGCTTCCAATCATGTTCTTTACTCTTTCCTTAAAATTTCTCTAGCATTTATATTTTCCAGTACATTTTATGCTCTATAAACAAACAGTTTACTGCATTATTTTTACCCCTAATTGTTCTCAAGCTGATTAATGTATCTGTCATTATTTTCTGCTTTCTAGGGACTACGCATCCCTCTGATTTACTTTCTTCCCCCTCAATACCTAGCTTAGCCTGTCCTATAAAACAGAAATAACCAGAAAAATGAATGAAATCAGTACTGTCAATGCTACTAATATCTACAATCATTACACTTTAACTTTATACCTTCAACTTTAATCCTGGTAGGCAGTTAGCAAACTTCTTAATATCTTCACTCGACTGGGGCCAGGAATTTGTGAGATATTCCACAAGGTCAAAGAGCTGATTAACCAAGAGTAGCTATCAATCTTTACCAAATACCTAATTGAATCCCAGTCTCCTGACCTGAGCATGATACACTTACCAGGAGCCCACGAAGTTACAAAGTCTACAGATATAAAGCAAGTGACAAGGAACTCAAAATAATGTCTGGGAATTCTGATTCCATGAGATCCCATGGTATGAAAGTCGATAAATATAAAGACAAGTGAAAAGGCGATAGTTTAATCGCCTGACTTTGAACTTTAATTTTACCCAACTAAAGTGGTTAGACGATGAGACAACTTCTTTTCCAGGCCTTTAAAAATATATATACATGGTGTGTAAATTAACCACTTCCCCCAATTTCAAATATCAGAACCAAGGATAGTTTCAGAAAAATTAGAAGAAATTATTTTTTCTACTGCCTGTTCTTCCTGCCTAATTTAAGAACTACTTCCTGCCAGGAGACTTGCTCACTCTCTAAAACTCGATGGCTTTTCCTGCAGCTCTCCTGGCAGTTCACCTACCTGGCCTGTTCGTTGGCGTGAGAAAACTTATGCTGTTTCTATGCCAGCACCATTCTCTCTCTGAATAGGAAGGAAGCTCTTCTCTGTTAATACTACAGAGCTCTGCTACATGGAGATGATATTTCTGATGATGATGATGATGACATTGCTGTTATGAAATTTATTTCCTCAGCCTACAAGTGAGAATGTAAATATTCAAGAAGAACTTATGTACACGGAAGACATATTTGTAAAGTGTATTCATGGGCTCTTGGACTCTGTCTAAAAGGAAGAAGGTGCTCCCTTGGACCCTTGGGTCATGGGATCCTTATGCAGTTTATCACCTGAACACGAGCCCACAGGGGCTGTAGCCAGGAGAATACTGCAGATGAAGAATCCTAGGAATTTTTAAAAGGGAATCTGCTGAGTACCGAGGGGGAGTATCAGAGAGATCAGCTTAGCCCAGAACGAGTACCTGCTGGCCCACCGTGCTGGCACGTCTCTAAGATCATGCACCACTGAAGTGGGCAGCCTGGAAATGCACCCAAGGGCAGCTTGTGAAGAATCCTGAGTGCCATGAGGACTTCATCCTCAGCGTGGGGGCGCAGGATGAGTGACATGGTCAAATCTGGGTTTTAAACCCGATCACCGATCACAGCTGGAACACAGTCCCGAGAGGAGGGTGAATGCAGGAGACCATAGGAGCTCAGTGCCGCCGCCCGGAGCAGATGCACTCTAGTCCTAGGGCAGAAGCACAGGGGTGGGGGCCAGACCCACTGGGAAAAGCCTTGTCAGATCCTGGAGATCTTGCAGGATGTGGCTGAGGGAGACACCAAAGACAACTGGTGAATTAACTTGATTAAAGAGGAATGACAGTTTGAAAAGGAAGGAAGAGGCTCTGGGTTAACAGGGTGGCTGGCAACTGAACTACAGTTGTGCCAAGTGTGAGGCCCTGCGCAATACCGTGAGGGAGTGTAAAATGCTGAGCTAGGCAGAGCTCGGGGAGAGAGGAGGAGGCCAGAGCTGGCAGGATGGCCAAGAGGAGGCGGCCCAAGGGAAACCCTGTTCCAGCTGGGCACACAGACTGCAGCAAGGGAAGCGGGAACAGAGAACTACTAGCCCCAGGGAAGGGCTCCCGCAACCCTGGGGAAGTTTCAGGAAGGAACGAACTTGGGTAAATAGTGTCCAAAACCACAGAGGAGTCCAGCAAGGTAGCTTAAAATTCACCCCCGCTGAAGGCAGCCGCAGAAGCACAGAAGGCCAGCAGAGAGCCCGCATCAGACTCAGGGTCGGTCTCACTTTACCTTCACCTCCACTGTGAAGGGCGGCACACAGGCGTTTTCCGCTCTGCCCACGATCACTTCCTCTAAAGGGTCCCACTCGTTGTAGGAGGAGACGGGGCAGTCCTTGGGCAGAGGGTCGGTGGCCTTCTCATCAGCTGCACAGGATTTCTGGGAGGAGGCTGGGGCTGCCTGGGTGCTCTGGAAAGTTCGCTGCACCCATCCTGTCACGGTTCTTCCGAGCTTTGGAGAACAACAAGAGCATCACTGCGTGGCCCTGCTCCACACGTGGGGGTGGGGGTGGGGGAACAGGGGACACAAGGTGGGAAGGCCACGTAACAGTCAGACATTTTAAACCTGTTAGGAGGCCGTAACCAAGGTGATAACAGTGTGCGGGCGAAAGGGACTGCGGGTGGTTTTGTTCGTGACCTTCTTCTGTATCTAGAAATCCTCTTTATCTATTTCGTCCCTGGCAATATAGGCCCCTGTTCACAGCTCAGAATTGGTTTCGCGGGAGGGGCCCTAACCAGGCCCATCTCCTGAACATGACACTCCTCCTCTTCCCTGGAAGCTGGCCCGTCGGTAACTTCCTGCCTGGTCCAGCTGGAGGAAGGAGCCCCCTTCTCCCTTGGCATCCAAAGTTACCAATATTAGGGTCTCTCCCCAACAGTCATTTATAAGGAACCTTATCTTTCAGAATAATCAGCTTCAAACCCAAACGTTTCTCACCTGTGATAGGCGCTTCACGTCCCTCCTCCCTCAGTGTTCACCTGCCGCCTGCCCCATTTTACATGGCCCCCGGGTACCCCAGCCAAGGCACAAAGTTAAACTAAGAAGGGGATTTAAGAATTTCAAAAGGCCTGTTTAAAAAAAAAAAAATGCAGGGCCTATAAAATCGAGAGCAGGAGGAGCCCCTCCATCTGCCGCGCACTGGGCAAGCCCGACCCCTAATCTCAAGCCTCCTATTTGATAGCGTCAGGAAGCGGCAGGAGGGGCGCTGGGGTGGGGCCCCGAGCGACAGCAGAGGGACAGCCGCTGGGAACCAGCTGTTCGGGCTGGGCGGGGTGGGGTGGGGGGACCCTGCGGAGCTATACCCCTCTGGGGCGGGGCAGGATCGGCGTGGCGACGGGGAGGAGCGCTGGGGACAGCCGTGTCGCTCTCCATCCCCACGTCCAAGTGGCCCCTCCCCCCGCCCAGCCCACTCTCGCTCCCCACCTCTGTGCGCATGCAGGGCACTGAACCCCAATAATGCCAGCCGTGTGCTAAGGGGCCCCTGACGTCCCCAGCTCTCCCCGCCCGGCGCTGGCAGCGCACCAGCACCAAGCTCCGGCCTTGGGGACTCGCGCTCGCGCAGCCACCCGGGCGTGGCACGCGTGTCCTCCCTCCCGCAGCCTCGGGGACCACCCCCCACTCTGGGCAGCCAGCCAGGGCTTGCGTCGCACGCACCCGAGACCCGAGGTAGTGCAGGGCCTCAGCGCCGCGGCTCCCGCCACGCACACACCGCACGCGCAGCATCCCGGTCCTCGGTCAGCGATTGCCCTGGAGCTCCGCGGGTGTGTGTGCGCTTCGCCACTCGCACCGCCTTTTATAGCGCAGGGCCGCCCCGCCCCGGACACGCCCCGGACACGCCCACTGCCACGCCCACGGCAGCGCACACCAGGTCCCCAGGCGGGGATTCCAGGCGCAGTCCCGCACCGGCTCTGCGTGATCTGCGAGAGGGGCGAGGCGTCTTCCCACTGAGCAAGATGAAGGTTAGCGGTACCTCTGGTGCGAAGTTTAAATTTAACCCTGCAAGATGGGCATGGTGGTGCACGCCTGTAATCCCAGCACTCTGGAAGCTGAGGCACGAAGATAAACTGCCAGTTCGAGGCCAGCCTGGACTGTATAGGTGAGACCTTGTCACGAGACAAGTAAGCAAAAAGTTGCTTTGTGAACTGGCAATAAATAAAAATAATTTAAACTTGCAAAGCGCGAGTGCAGTTTTAGGTTTAAACTGAGTGATGTGCACAGATCCGATGCCCCCATTTTAGAGTGAACGCAACCGCTTAAACACGAGCTGGCTTGCCGGCCAGGCTTGAGACGGGAGAGAGAAGTCTGGAACTTGGGCCACCTGTCCCCTGCCCCCCTCCAGTCTGCTGAGTGACTTGAACTCTTGTCATTCTCCTTGAGTGGACACACAATCCTGAAAATAGAGACAAATTGGGTCAGGAGTAAGGGACGACTATGGAGAGCACCTTTCTTCCTATTCACGCATTATATGGCTTGTTTCAACTCGATCAGGGTGCTTTTCACAGAGTAGAATCTTAGAGGCTACAACCCTGTATGTAATCCTATCACTCTGGGAGGCTGAGGCAGGAGGATTCCAAGTTTCAAAAATGTGAAGCAGAGCCACCCGAACCAGTCTCGCTGCTACAAAAGCAAATCGAATAATCCCTCCACCCCTTTCCTTTCTATTTGCTTTTGTTCTTGAAAAAGACTTTTGTAACCATCTTTTAGAATTATCTTACCAAGTGAGAGCACATATAAAAAAAAAATTAAAAAAATAAAGACAGCACACATCTTTGTATTGAGTTGTTTGTCTAATACTGGGCCAGCTCTGCAGTGTATCTATAGCAATGTTTGGCAGTATCTCGCTCTTTGGTTGCTGCCTTACTCTGAAGAAATAAAAGACAGACTGAGTGCTTGCCCTTCCTTCCTTTCCTCATAACAGATATCATCAATAACTGATTGAACCGATAACTTCTGGAGCTTGGGGCTTTCATACTTAATGGCTACACATGTTCCAGGCCAACAGTAGTGTGGTTCTGTAGATTCATTACATGATACAAGTCAGGGTAGTGGGTATATGAGGGGGCAAGATGGCAGTGAACAGAAAACGCATTGGATGCTTGGGAAAAGGTTTTGCTTTTTCAGTTTCTCCTTCACCACTGCTATTTGGAGATACAAACGTTCCTACCTGATTCCAGCCAGCAAAATACAGAATTTTTGAATTGTGTCCTGAGATGAAAACAAAACCAAACCCAAGAAAGACACTGGCCCCCAAAATAAACAGAAGAGCCTGTTGAAAGACTTCATTATTTCATGACGCTAGTTGACATTAGCACCCGGGCTTGGGAGGCAGGTTTACAAGGTTGTGTTCATAGAATTCACAAGTACAAATATTCTGAGAAATAGTACATGCACACACACACACATACACACATACACATCTGGGTGAGATAAACTATCTGCAGAAGTCACCTGTTCTAAGACACATTTGTCCCTCTAGAGTTAAGGACGCTAGACATTCCCAAGTTGGATCAGATAAAAGATGGTATTACTGAAGTTCAAACAAGGCGACTAAAGTATATCCTCATGGCTAGAATGTGCCTAAATAAAGCTGCATTTTTAGAAGAGTATTATTTGGAGTACATTAATAAAATATCTCTGGGAGGACAGACAAGCTATCGATGGCCCAAGTCATCCCTGGGTGGGGGATGTGGCTGGCCGGGGGAAAGGTGTGGTAGAGGGTTTTCCCTTTAAGCCGGATCATGCCCTTGAATTTGGAGCGTGTGAGTGGATTGCCTAATAAACAGACAAAAATACATAGACTGTATTTACCCAGGTGCGGCTGCCCACATGGAGTGTTTTTAAAGGAAGCCTGAATACGAATCTGTCGATGTTTATTCATCCTGCTTTAAGGATGAGTTAGAATACTCTGGCTCCTGGAAAAAGGAAACCTATTGACAAGAATAATTCCGTTCACTTCCTCCGCCCTCTGGGGCCGCCAACAACCTCATCATTCCTGGGAACCTCGACAGGGGAGCAGGCTGGGCAAGGGGCGGACTCTGCAGGCTGAGCCCATAGGGCCCTTGCTGCAAAGCCTCGAACCAGCGTTCCAGCCTCTCTCTTAGAGTCCTGCGAGTATGGCAGATGCAGCTCAGCCCTTGCTGGCAAGCGCTGTATATTCCTCTTAACGATCTCTCTCTCCCGCCTGCTGCTCAATCCAGGGCAAATGATGAGAACCGCTTCTGGAACCTGCAATGCTGCAGGAGTGGCTTTTCTGTCAACACCCTGTGTCCTTGTGGCTCACGGTGCCCGAGAACTTCTTGCTGGTGTGTTGCAGCCCACCGGGCAGGGGCGGGGCCCCGGAAGGAGGGGAGGCTGGTTCACCCCCACCACGTCCCAGCACAGGGCTGGACACAACGCGGCTGAGTCCACCCTTGCTCGGTGCGGCTCTGAAAGCCCAGACCTCCTGCTTTGACGTCGTGCAGCCTTTGATTTCAGACGAGTCCCAAAGTCTTGTTCACTCTGCCCTATCTCCCTACAAACCCTTGTAGGACTTTTACGAGCTCCAAACAGCTGTGTTTTTGCTGCTCAGCATCTTCTAATGAAGGGGATTCTTTCACCAGAAGGCAAGCGTGAGACAGTAGCTCCAGCAACGTTAAACTTCAGGTTTCCCCAAGTATTTAAAATAACCTCAGCTTGAATCAGCACTGCAAGCGATCTGACTTCAAGAAACCAGGAAGAAACGTCGGGAGCCGGAGGCAGGGGACCACCTCATTTCTCTCACTTTGGTCCTTAGCTTCCTTCCCGGAATTCAAGAGCCCCAAATGCCATTCTCCTTTATTTAGGTTCTGAATAAACCTGAAGGTGAAGGCCAACCCACTGGATAACATCCTGATACCAGGGTATAGCACAGGGGATTTTTGTTCAAGGAAAAACAACTGCATGTGTTTCCTTCTCACTTCAGTCCTTTGGAAAGAGAGCCGCTTTACTTGGCTGTCGGAGCCATGATTCAGATGCAGGCCTCTAGGGCTCAGCAGCATGTGTCCTTAAACCCTGGGGCTCCCGCTTGCTCGCAGGCGTGGGGAAGTCCCTATTGCACAGTGCACGTGTGTGTGTCCTGTGCGTCCGATATTATTCCCCTGGGGGCTTTGTGTTGTGTCGCACGCTGTCATCCACCTTCCAGGACATCCGAGTGTTTCTTCCAGGAGCTATGTGTCAGACTGCTGTCCTTCTTAGGAAAATACCCGTCAAGACTGCGTAGTAAGGAGCCTCGGACAGCTGTGCTCAAGATACAGGTCGGCGCCTCCGGCCACGTTCAGCAGTGGTTTCAACGCCTCGCTGAGAACTAGGGAGGCGAGGGAGGCGCAGGGGCACAGCGGGCTGCGGGGGTCGCCCCTGCACTGCAGCCGAGGAAGGAGTCTGTCCGGAGGGGAAAGCACGCCCTCTCGGCGCTGGTTCTGCAAACGCGCTTCACACCCACCCCACCTGAGTCCCAGCTGGAGACTCTGAGCGGCGCTAAAATAGCACCCTGGACCCCACTGAGAAAGCCGCGTCTCCTCTCTCTGCCTCGACTGCCTCTTCTGTTCTTACCCAACAGCCACCAGGCCAGCAGAGCCGGCCAGGGGTGGTGGGCCGGCCGCAGGCAGCGCTCCAGGGAGAAGCAGCACATGATCCACTTCCAGAAGGACAGGGAAGCCAGGGAATCGCTAGCGCTCGGTTACAGTGTCAGCGCCGCAGGGCGGCCTCCACCCACGCACACGTCCTGGTTTGGCAGAAAACGTCTGCAGCCGCGGGGGTAGGAGGACAGCTGTCCCCCGACGGTCTCCCTTGAGTCCTTCTCGCAGTGCCAACTTCTCTCTCGGGACCCTTTCCACGGCCTCCTTTAAGCTGACTTCAGGTTTTCACTTCTGGTTTAGATCTTCCCAAAAAGCATTCTGCAGAATAAGAAGCAAATTGTGGGGCCAACCCCGGGGGAGCGGTTAAGGAAGTTACAACTTACTCAGCTTTTACGGAAGTTCCTGGCTCTTAAGTGCATAAAGTTTTCTTAATCAGTACTTCTGGTTTTTTTTTTTTTTTTTTTGCGGTACCGGGAACCGAACTCACGACTTTGCGCTTGCCAGGCAGGCGCTGTGCCGCTGAGCTAAATCCCCAGCCCCGTTAATCAGTATTACTTAAGTGAATGAATACAGTCTGGATTTAGGAGAATAAACCTCATCATAGGCTGGAACATGCAGCTGTTAAGAAGAATGTTTACAATTTTTAAAAAAATAACCTATGACCTTTCTTATGATATTTAGAGGAAAAGAACAGAATAGCAAGCCAGTCCTGGAGGCACATGCCTGTAATCCTTGCACTCCAGAAGCTGATGCAGGAGATTAATGCAAGTTTGAGGCCAGCCTGACTGTCCCCCGACGGTCTCCCTCAAGTCCTTCTCCCAGTGCCAACCCCTCTCTCGGGACCCTTTCCACAGCCTCCTTTAAGCTGAGAGACTACATAGAGAGACCTGTCCCCTGCCAAAAAAAAAAAAAAAAGCAGAATACGAAATTGGATAAACAGTAGTCTGTCAACCATGTTAGATACATACGTACATAAGACCCTGGTGGGAAAAAATCACCAAAATTTTAACAATAGTACCCAAAGGTGTAATAGGTAAGCTTTACGTTCTTTCTGCTTTTCTGCAAATGGTGTAATTTTCTGTATTAGGCATTTATTACCAGAAAATGAAAAGCCATACATGCTATATTTGTAGAAGCAAAGGATAAAGCTTCAGAAAGAACT